ATTATATATCATCAACTTTCCTGCCTGATATGAATCATTCACCTAGAGTATTACACAAAGTTTGGTCTGAGAAACATCAATACTTAATTTAAAGAGCTTATCACTGTACAATTACAAAAAAATAAAACCATGAGACTTATTGAGGGACTCCATATAATGCATCTTCATGGAAGAACAAAAATAAGGCAATCGCACAAAATTACACAGCTTTAAAAAGACGTTAACGCGTAGTCATTACACAAATGCTCAGATGTTGCATCGGAGAGTGAAACATGTAAAATAGTTGTATACGAGAATCATAGGACGGAAAAATCTTATATTCTGAAGACTTTCGGAGATGATAATTCAGAATATCGACAATTAGGAAAGGATAGAAATATGGAGTCAATAACATCTTGAGAGGTTCCTTTCTGAGTGGGTTAAAAGATCCACAGAGATTTCTACGGGTCGCTGCCATCAGAGTCGTCTTCAAATCCTCGTTTGCTCAACAACGAATGAAATTCTGCAGCTGATATTCGTGCGTCCAGATTCACCGATGGTTCGCATGAACTCGCACGTGGTCCAATATCAACTGTGTCCACGCACTTGAAATAGTAAGATCAGAGATCCTAGTTGGGATTTTCAGATCACACAATTTGCCAGTGCATTTCAAAATTTAACAGTTCTTACTGAAGGACTGCTCTCAACGTGTTTTGTAAGTCCCAATTCCCACTGAGGCACAGAAGAGCGCCGATTTCAGACGGGCGGGATGACTGTACATTACTTGCCACCAAAGAAAAAAAAACTCTAGTTACATCAAACAACAACTTATGTCAAGGTATATCTTCACTTTGATCTTGCGATGGTCTCGCGTAATGGGCCGATGTCATAGTTTGCGAATCGAGCGATGATTCGCTGGATCCGAGCATTGAGCGAATCGAACGATGCACCAGCGACTCAATAGTGGCGGGACCCAACGTTCAAAGGAAGCCCGCCACTTTCAAACAGTGTCACGTGACAGTGGACGCTTTTTGAAAGTGGCGGGACTTGACAGTGGACACTGTTTGAAAGTGGCGGGCTTCCTTTGAACGTTGGGTCCCGCCACTATTGAGTCGCTGGTACATAGTTCGACTCGCTGGTACATGGCTGCGCAAAGTTCGATTCGCTGGTGCAACGTTCGATTCGCTGGCGCAACGCTCGGATCCAGCGATTCGCTAGCGAATCGCTCGATTCGCAAACTATGACATCGGCCTAAGAAAGCAAGTAGCTCAGGAATCCAACAGGATATACTCCGCACCCATCAAAATACTGGCACAACCTTTGCTGTGGCGATGCTTGATGAAATTGAAAACAGAGGAAAAGCAGCAAAAATAAAATGCAAATTGCACTTGCTTATCTGCTCACTTTTATCAGTTCCCACATGCAAGTTTACCACACTTCCCTATTCCTTATTCATCGGAAATTAACCACATTTTGCTCAAAGTGACCACGTAAAAGTCCACCGCGCTCTGGCGCACTTCTGTCCTATCTAAAATTTTGACATTAAAGAACAACAAACCTCAGAACTATCAGGCATACTGCATGCACGACTAGCCGGACCGGTGCAGCTTTCGCAATCCTCGTCCTCGTCGTCATCTTCATCACTAGTGACACCAAAACGAGCTGCTCCATCAGGGCTATAAGCGGTTCTGTTATTATAGAAAAAAGTCGCCGCCACTAATTCTTTTGCACAGTTTTGGCTCTCACTAGTCAAAACCAAACCATCTACACTTTTCCAAATTGCTTTTGAAGGCTTATAAGGGCCTAAACAATCAGTGGGTCTCGGCAGCCTCGCGTCATTTCAAACCTCGTGATAGGAACAACTCACCTCGTAAGTCCAAGGCCCGGATCTCGTCCAACAGCTATATGAGGCATACATGGGAAGAATAAAGGCACAAAACCTTCAACTTACATCAATTTCCTATTGGGATGCGCCACGCACTCCACTCCATTCGGGGTCGTAGTGGCATTTTGAATGTGACCTCCCCCCCCCCCGAATGTGAATGTCAGTATTTTTCTTCCGACAAGTCTGGTACCGATTAACTGATTCAGGAAGAATGGAAGGCATAGATCGCTCAGACGGGGAACGATGCAAGATCTGATAGACGTACCGTGGAGGGGGGAGCAGCGCCACTTGCCTTACACCACCTAGCACTCCCCGCCCAACAATCTAAGTGGTGCGGTCGAAATAAGTTTACTAGAGTAGTTCATAAGGTTCTGATAATCTTCAGTAATGCTCACCGGTAACTAGTCGGCTGACACACAGCACCTGTTTCAAGATCATAATACAGCTCGGCGCCTGGGAAAGATCGCTCTATTAGCAGGATATCTGAAAAGCGAGAAATATGCACTTCTCCCAAACTTTTCTACCTAGATGACAGTAAAATCCCGAACCTGAAAATATGTGTGTTCTGGAAGATGTTTGGCCACAGGTATATACCGTCGCTGATACATGTCCTCCAACCTCGGTCGCTTAACCTCAGAACAGTCCATATCCTCATCCTTTTCGGAATTTTCAGATATCTCTAGCTGCTTCATTATCTAGAATGAACGATTCTTCACCTGCCCCTTGCATAATAAAAAGCAGTGCACCTCAAGAAATTCTTGCTTTTCTGCAACACGCCGTCTTTTCCTAGCTTGCTTCGACAATGCACCAGATTTGGTCGATTGGGGCTCTGCTTGACATGAATGTCCATTCGCTTCCATGTCCGTATGGACCTTCATTTTATTTTCTGAAGTAATCATATCACATTTCTTCCTGAAATCATACAAGAGGTGTCGTCTGCAAGAAAAAGAGAAATGGAACTAACGGTGAGCTTCCAGCATGCCGACAAATTGGCCGCCAAGAGCTATGCATATGTCCTCAATAATTTCATCGCAATTCCCGAGGAGCTCTATATCAGCCTGGTAACCCGATAATGGCTCGCTAAAATATAGTCGCTATCACAACGTTATAGCAAACAAAATTAGTGACAACCTAAGAAGATAATTACGAAAATCAACTCACCGATTGATCAAAATCTGGGGTATATTCTGATCTACACTAAACGGAATAAGTGATACCGGTCGTACCTTTAACGAAGACCCTAAAGAGACAACTGTAGCTGAAGAAGAATCGTTCATGTAATGTTCCAAATTAAATGACAATGCGCGCACAAACATTCTGTGATCAGAAGCCGCGCAGTCCGGTCTCACGAGCACTATTGTGTAGAACTAGCATACAGGACGTATTCATTTAGTGGCAAGAATAACTAAGACGGTTACGATCTTTCCGTACAACTGTTGCCATGCCTCTGAGTATAAAATCTCCTTTCTGGGTGGACGTATTCTGGTAGACCCTTCTCAAACTGGACTTCTGTAGCTATCGTGAGGCTTTGAAGATTCACCCGCCATGAATTGGCTAATGATTTTGAGAAAATTTCTAGACATGTGGTGAAGAAGCAGTTCTGATATTCAATGTCATGCCCAGCGTGTCTGCGGACGATTGAGTTTTACAATTCATGTTCGCCTTCATTGAATTTAACTTCCTCTGCGTGTAATTGCTCAGCCAACTATGGAGCTGTGTGGTCCTAGACAGCTTCAAAGATGCTGGAAGAAGCCCACTACGACATAAGAGGCCGCAGAGGTAAAAAAAAAGCTGACCAAAAAACTATAAAAAAAAGTTACTTGGCCCTGCAAAAAATGGATGAAGAACACACACCGATCGACAGCATCTAGAGCTGGGCAAAGACTACAGCAGGAAGCGAGACCTGGGCCGACAATCCAAGCCTTCAAGAGAATTACCGAGAGCGGGAAGAAGGAATTCTACCACACTATCAGCAGAGTACGTTGGACACTAGTGCAAAAAACATCGCCACACTTTTTAGTTTACAATGGGTGAAAAAGGGATGAAAACTGTTACTCGATGGTATCAAATAGTTCAGGGACCGAGAAAACAAAAATAAAAATAAGTAATACAAAAGCATACCTATGACAACAAGCAAATCGAGCTCATCCTTGTCAACTGCCATCTGAGTGTGGAACGTCTTATCAAGCTCCTCGCCAAAAAACACTATGTCTGGCTTGATCACCCCATCCAAACACTTAGGACACCGGGCAACTCGCTAAATCAGAACGCATGTAGCAAGAGCTGACCATTAACCTTGAAGAATGCTCAAATGATTCCATATTCAGAAAGGTCAACGTTTTTATGAACATCTGAAGTCGTATGCAGCAATCCCCTTACTTCATACGACCTTCGAGGATAGAGCGGGGTGTATACCGAGACCTCATGCAGCAAATCCTAGAGGTCGTCGGGATAAATCCCCGACCTTCGGGGCTTGCTGCATACTGCCCCAGAGAAGAAGGAAAAATTGGACAAGCCGATGATGAAGATAATGATGTCCACCAGCTCAACTGAGTGGCGGTGAATATATTGATTTTAGTCCTACTTAAGGAGTTCAAAAAATATTACACCTGCGAAGGTTAAAACAAAAGTAATACTAAAAGGATTAAACTCAACGTAAACGTCAGAAACATGGTAAAGTTCGAAGGTACATCAGAGATCAGGACAGCTCATAGACAGGGCATATAATTTCACAGACTGAATGCCAAACACACCTTTGCCATGACGTCATCTTTGATAACGTCACCATTCAAACTTAGCAAGGCATTTCAAACAAGTTGCTTTGGAGAAAGAACCTGTAAAGAATTTGAATAAGTGGCAGAAAACTCGAGAAGAAAACTTAGCGTAGACCTTATTACATAGGAAGTGATATCAGTTGTTTTACAGATTGACATCCGAAATGATTTCAAAAAGCACTCACCATGACACTCAACAACCTTCTCAATTTTTGCCTGCTTCTCAAGTGTGTCGATGTTTTGAGTGTAATTTCTCAAAAGCTGATTGTTCACTTCAAGTTGGCGAATGAACTTGTGAGATATTGACGGTTCAAATTGGCCAGGGAAAATCTCCTGAATATAAGAACACTAGTGTTGGCAGACAAGATCAACTAATGGAAAAGATAGCTACTGGAGCCATATTGCTATGATGCACAAAGTTGTACAAGCACGAACGTTCCTATGTCCAGTGAAAGGAAGGATTAGAAAAATGGGTGAGTAGTTCCGTGATCACTGTGCGTTCGAACAATTGGCCAGCAAGGAACTGAAGACGTGGCAAATGAAAGAGCGAAAGAAGAGCAGTGACTATGGAAGCAAGCAAATGAAGAGGAAAGTGGTGGAGCAGTAGTAAACAAGAATAATGAGAACAGAAGAGCAAGACATTTTTCAGACTGGGACTAGGAAACGTGGCTGGTGCACCAAAGGAGAAGTTTGCGACTCTTCAAAGACTTGAGATTTCTCAGTGGTGGCAGGTTTCGCGAATCAATCGCGACCGCAGTCACAATATCTGTCACCTACCTTATACAAAAGTTCAACGGACAACAAAAGGATCGAGAAACTCCATCAGGATTACGAACTATCCGCAATCTCTAACTAAAGTACCATGAAGAATGAGGATATTGGAACTCAGAGAAGGTTGCTCATACGGATTGCTCCAAACACGAAGAGAGAAAATGGAGGGGAGTATAAGGTAGAAATTCACATTTATTGGTGAGAGATTAGGCTTACCGAAGCAAAGTCATAGAATGGAGCCGGATTGTGAATAAAATAACGGATATCGAACATCGCTGTAGGATCGGGAAGATCAGGGAAGTCGACGTGAAGACGAGCATAGAATACCTAAACATGCAAATAATCAAATTTCTTGTCGTACGTATCTCTGAAAATAGAAAACAAAGAGAATAGATCCTTCTATGCTGATCCATCTCTTTTTAGAGAGCCAGGCTTCATTACGGAGGCCAATCGTTGCGAAAATCAGTGTTTTAACACCTTGACGACATCGCGCGTTTTGGGTTTTTGCACCGCGTGGGACAAGGGCGCTTTTGCGAGCGCGGCCGTCACACCTCACACCCGTAAATTTCGAACGATAACCTTGGGAAGCTTCTCCAAGGGGGTAAAGTGAGACGCGTCACCGCGTCTCAATGTCGTCGATGTGTTAACCTTTTTAAATTTGAATGGAGTCCACACCTCAGAAACCTTCAACACCAGCTCACCGCGAGAAGATGGAAGATTGATTAGCATGAGTGAGACCAGATACAGATCCTTACTTCGACCATGCGTACGATGGGCGGTGTCACTTGCCGCAACATAACCCCACCCACTTTGAGAGCATACGGTGGATATCTGTGCCCACCATTTTACCAAATAAGGAAATGCAAGAAAGTGCATTCACGTCATTTTGTAGTAAAAATGCAAGAATTTGCAAGAGATTAAAAAAAAGGCTACAAAAAAACTTAGGAGTGAAAGTACCATCTTTGCTTCGGAAATCAGGGATTCCACAGGAAACAGAAACTCCTGCACCGGTCAAAACGAGGATCCGCTTGCGAGTTCTGAAAACAATGTCTACGATAGTTTCACACATTGTGTACAAACAATAATTAGACGTAAACAATGACAGGATTGCTTACCTGAAAAGCTCCACAGCATCTTCAAATGTATTATACTGCGGAAGTTTACTCCTAGTTGGTGGACGATCCAGAATTTCCGTGAGGATTGACATAATCTTTAAAAAAGTATTAAACAGAATGTTGTTTATCATTTCTGGTCAACCACCAATTGGGCTGCATTAGAAAATTGGAAAAGAGGTTACACTGCAAGAAAAGAAACAGCAACGAAAGAAGCAACCTGTACTTAGTAAAAAAAAACTAGCTTAAGCATAAAGGGAACATAAGAATATGTTGTACCAAGTGTTCTGACCAGCCCTCTGGAGGCTCCTTGATCCTTGGATACAGGGCTTTGATCACGTCAACAGGCGTTGCACCCGCACTGAACATTGCCTCCATCCTCATCAGAGCATCTGATGAATTCTGAAACACAAACACTCTTCAATCTTACCCAGAGCACCCACAGTTACTTGTATTGTGTGCAAATGAAGGAGCTACGCGAAGCACTACTCACCGGATTTCGCCAACATTCTGAGCCAACTGGAGAAGGAACATCAGCTCCGCCTCCTTCGTCCTCATTAGGGATCTCTAGACCACATATACCCAGCTTTGATGAAGAGACATTCTGCAAAAAAAGCTTTTGAAAAAGAAATTTGAAATACTTGCAAAAATTGACCGAAAACTGAACTGAACGATACTCCAAAGTACCCAAACATGAGGATCAAGACGCAAGACAAACCTTAGCTCCTTCTTCAGGAGTTAATGTTGACAATTCAGATGTTGCATCGCAACATCCGTTTTCGCCCGTAGCATTGACCATTGATTTACAGGCGCGCGACCTTTTACAATACATTGACTATATCTCGGGTAGACGTAGTAAGCAACAAATCAGCGTTGAAAAAATATTCAGCAAAAATCAGCACAACATATACAGGTAAAAGCTTTGTCAGACATGTCATTAACAAAGTAATTCACACCATCGAAGAATGCAGAGAAGGAAAAACGAAAGAGGTTACACTTCAAAAGCAAACTGAATCTTAGAATAAGTCAAAAGCATCTTAAAAGTCATGATAACCGTAGTTCCAATAGCTCTGAAAAAAGAAATCCAGGAGACAAGAGTAGTGAACGGAACATGGTAGGGAGCATTCAGATAATTCCGCAATATTCAATACTTCATTAGCACACTAAGAAAAAAAAAGAAAATATTGAAGGTAATCTGTGAGCTCTGATTCAATAGAGATTTCATTTACGCAAGGTTGAGACCCAAGAAGAAGAATTGGAAGAAAAAAAGCATTTTCAACACAATGGCAACCACAATAACCAATTAACACGTTCATTCGAAAAAGAAAGCCGCAGACATTATCAAAGCAGAATTCGGTAAAGTATTGAAACTAAAACAAGACGAAGATAATTGAATACACCTTGACATTAAGAGAATGGTCCATCCATGGAGACGTCGAGACGATTAAAGGTCTTTAAATTCTTCAAAAAATTAAAAACCTTCAGAGATCAAAAAAAGATGGACGGAAGAAAAGCGACACGCACGCCGACCGCTGCGCATCCGAAGGAACCCAGTGCTTTGTGCAATCACAGAACACTTTAAATTACGCAGAATTTTCACAGGCGAGGAAATGCTCAGGTTTGGCAGAGAAAAACAACAAGAAATTCTCGGTTTTGCCTTGCATCCAGCTACTTTCACGCAGAGTCAACCGTGCGTTGCGCAGTTCTCAACGAGCGGGGTCGTTTTTGAGTTTTTTTTTCTGGAGGGAGGGATCGTGTTTTGGGATGGTGAAGGAAAAAAGGGAAAAGGAGGCCGTATTTGCGAAAGCTAAAGGGGTCGTGGCGTTCACTGTTTCCCGTTCGGCGGCCGCAGTGGTGAAAAAATCGGTGGAGTTGGGCTCTGTCGACCGGTCTCAGATTCAAATACTACAGAATTAGACATGATGTTGGGAGTGGTGGTAAGGGATGGGGAGGAGGAGGCTGTATGGGGGGACTTCCTCTAAGGCTGATGATAATGGGAGTCGTACCGAGACCCCCTCGAAGAGAGGTGTCGCAAATTTTTTGGGATCTGCGCAACGAGGAGTGAGACCTGACTTTAATTCCGATTAAACTCCCCATCGAAAAAACCTGAGGGCGTGGAGCACTTGTACTTTTTCATGATATAGAGGTACGCGTGTACGCTATCAGTCAAACGTATTCGCCGAAACTCTTCCTCGTGCACAAGTTCTTCTCACTCGAATTTCTTTCAACGACTGATTTTCGAACACTTGAGACTTT